TCCCCAAAAGCTGGGTTTTACAGTTCTGAGTCTAAGGCTGCTTTATGGACTTATCCCTCAGTGACTTGCCCTGAACGACTTTGGAACAAGTATCTCAAGTCCTCAGTTAGTGCTGCAATGAATAGGCAATCCTTTCTTTCCTAAAAAGATGGAGATGCAAGGTGACTTCTCCCTCCCAAATGGATTTCATGTATACTCTCTTCCTCAGAAAGTACACAACATGGAAGCTACTCAATAGAAATTACTTACTGAACCTTTCAGCAGAGCCCCAGAATCAATTCTGGCAATATAGGCAGAATAGTGCATACATGACATCTTGGGCCAACATGCTCTCCCAGACATCCTCTAAGTGGGAGTCCCTTAGATGTTCAAGGCAATCAGCAAGAACTTATTTTTCACACCAGTAAAGCATGATGCAGTTCAGTGCACTCCTCTTAGTCTTTGCCGTTTACCCCTAAACCTGCCAAGAAGCCTCCCACGGGAAAGGGGGTAATTAACAACCCCTAATGCACAGGTATGGCAAATCTGTGCATAATCTGTACTCTGATCCTGTGGTTACAACTGAAACCATGTCCTTGATAGTAATGCCATTATTAATCAAGACCTCCTTAGAGCTACCAATCTTCTCATTTGCTTCCCTGTAAAAACCAAATTAGAAGAACAAATCAGAACAGGCCATAGGAAAAGCAGACTCCCTATCTATACAAGGGAATTTGAGGCAACCTTGATTATGAGAAAAATAACATGTTGGGAACCTGGAAGATTGTGACAGAGTTTGCTTTTGCACTCCCATCATATGGGAAACAAAACACAGCCTCAGCCATATCCCAAATTGTGCCACCGCAAAAGCCTGGGAACGTTAACCCTCTAGCAAACAGGAAGAAAACATACAGTTTGTTTAATGCAATGGAATGGAATTTAATTTTCTCTCTGAAACCGAGTTTAATCATGAGCATGAATAAACAATATGATATTATGTATGAATACAGCACATGACATTTTTATCATAGTTTTACAATAACAGCCGGACAGGACCTTAATCGCGTCAATGAAGGAAGTCAATGACAGAAATATTTATGTCTTCCATACCCAAATCTATGCTCAGCACATATTTCTGCTAACTCCTGTAGTCTTATCACAAGTCTCATGACAGTTGCATTTTTCTTTAAGGAATGACCATTTGGAGGTCTGTGATTTCATAAGAATTTTAACTTTTTAAAGCAATTACCACATCTTCATGGTTGCATTAAAAAAAATTTTGTTATTATTTATAAGCCAGTTTTACGATTTCATTTATAATTCCAAAATGATTCAGTTGACAAGAATGCACCTTACTAGCCTTCTCTATTAATTTTCCTTTTGATGAAAAAAATGAAGTATGGTTCTATGTGTCGTCAAATAATATGTCAAAGAAAAAAATGGAACTGCGGTTTGGGTAACATTTTTTTGTATCTGTTAGTTGTTGTTAAACAACTTAAGATAATTCTTACTTAATTATTAAAATTGTTGCATTCATGTCTCAGTTCAATGAGAATTCATCCATAAAGATACATAAGCCCCCTTAAGAAAAAAAAGTGTACCAGTGGTTCTGGACACTGGGTCAGTAATTGCCACACATCATCTTTTAACCTTTTTTCATTTTTCTAGTTTATACTCCTCTCTTCAGCACACAAAAAAGGGGAATTCCGCTGTTTTCCTATTACAGTGATCTTTTTGTTTTTAATTTTGCAAAGAACAGAAAAATTGGACCAGACTCCAGATTCCTTCCAGAAAACATTTTTATGTTTTTGACAAGATGTTAAATATCTTCACCACATGGTTTTAGTGCAAGTTCAGCATAGTTTCAGTATAAATGTTAATGTAGTGATACATAATAATGACACAATTTACACACTGGGAGACTACAGAAGATGTTGAATATTTATATGCACTTCTGCTATTGCACTCTTAATAACATAGCAATGTAACTACATTTTCAGCCTGAGTAAATATAATTGCTTTCAATGCTAAGCCTTCAGAAGGTCTGTTTAATCAGCTAATAAAAGCAAACTTATGTAGAATACTAATACGCTAGTCAGTGTGTGTGAAACACAGCTAGAATACCCACCTGGCATTTGGAAAATAATTTACTCTTGACTGCCTAGTACAGTTCATTAACAAAGTGTACAGTCGTTAGTCTCACAAATGTGGCGGGATGAAAAACATTCATCACATTACTCACCTGAACACAGAGATGCTCTTGGTCTTGCCCCTGTTTTATGGTTAGTCTTCTCATTTTCCCAGGTATATTCTCCTTTCCTAAAAAGAAATTTTAGCAGGTGGATTTTGAGGATTTTTTACATTTGTCCAAGCACCGTGGACATACAGACTACTGGTAAACTAAGTAGGGCAAAAAGAATTCAACATCCATACAGAAGCATCAAAATAACTGTATACACACATACCATATTGCAGCAAACGAATATAATTGGTATGAAACACTCATCTCCAGGAAACACTCCAGGAAAGCACCACTTGTTTTGATTCACCTCAGTTCTGAACATTTCCTGACCTGTCTCCTATTGCCTATATTTACTTGTCACCTCTGTCCAATTGCAATAAATGCCCAATCTCACCAACCTTATCAACCACGCCCCCCCAAAAAAATTCTGTTTATAATGAGTATGTATTATTCAAAGTGCGTGTGATGATTGTTAGAAGTGGCTTTCTCTGTTTTAAATACACAAAATCGTATATATTTTAAAACCAAACAACAATTTCCTCAACCCCCCCCCAAAGAGAAGAGACCAAGTCCAAAGAAAAATGTGATTATATAATTAAAAACATTATCTAAGGTGTAGGCACAAGGAGTAGAAATTAGATTATCTATATTACTAATTCTGCCATTTCCTCTTCTGAGCATTTGACTGTGCATCATTAGAATTCTTTAGATGCAATTTACTGTCTCTTCGATTTTCTAATGCCAGGAACCTAGCCTCAAAATTTCTTGTCAGTACCAAGTACAGCTCGTGTGCTGTCCTACCTTTTCCATTTCCCAGTTTGTTTAAATTCATGTATTGCAATACAGTGAAAATATCCTACAAAAAGGCACATGCTGCCTATACAAAGAGAGGAGGTTTTTGGTTGGGCTGTATCAATAACGAAATGACTCATTTTTATGTCAAATATGCTGGGTTTTGTGCCGTATTTTTCTCTTTTGTACAGATGCACACCATTTGATGTCCTGCACTGAGTACACAGCTTCTCACCCTTTACATGATGTCGATCCCTGATTTACACCAAAAGCACCACCACTGCCAGCGTTTCAAAAATGAGCAATACCAGTTTGCACTGGTAAGTACATTGACATGCTGATGCGCTTGGCATCCTTTATGTTCCATGTGGACGAGCGCTTTAAGGGATTGCCAGAGATTTTACACTAGCTCAGGGAAAGACAATGCAGGGAGCAAACAGCTGCTGGTTTGACCAAAACATCAGTGCTTCACTTTGCTTTGCCACCACTCTGCTTACCATTCATGTCCCTGAGGCTTTGCAGGACACGGACTGCGCAGCCAGGCAGAGGCTGTATAGCAGTTTTGTGAACCGTTCCCTGTCCAGACATCTCAAACTTTTCCTTGAGGGTGGCTCACCCATCCACAGGGCCCGTTTTTCAGCGTAACTGATGAGAGCACAGAAGCCCCTGCCCCGCAGGACTTGCTGCTCCTCAAGGGTCCACAACGGCTCACACAGCATTCCGTGGCTTGACTGTGATGGGAGGATCTAGTTTTACTCCATGTTTTTTTTTTGTTCTTGTTGAGCTGGGAGGCAAGCGCCGGGGCTGCACACGGGGGGGCATGCGGAGGGGAGCCCCGGCGGGGAAGCGGGAACCGAGCCCTGAGAGGGCGAGAGGCGGCAGCGCGAGCACCAACGG